GAAATGTAAACCAATGAAAGAGATTGAATCAAACAAGAAGATGATGAAGATGATAATACCTATGGGATTTTGAAAGCTGATTTGATTAACCACCCACTCTAATCATGATTAACTAACATGATGATCATTTTCAACTTTATCGTTTTTTTTTGCTTCTTGTTGTTGTTAAGGTTTTTGATTGAAAAACTTGATCATCAATTTTATCATTTAGCATCATTTGGACCTTAAAAATTGTTGTCATCCTTTTATCTTCCTCATCAGTTAACATTGAGAAACCTGCGGATGATATGAATTCATTATCAATCTCGGTAAAGTGGTGATATTTGGTGATAGTGAATGTGAATTGATGATGAAGAGCAAAAATATCAAACTGAATTGGAAATGAATTGTTACCACAAATCTGATTACTTTAACTACTACAAGTGAATAACAATGATAATAAATTCAAATAATCATAATTCAATAACTTGTACTATCATCATAATCAGGAGATGAGAAGATGAGGATGAAGGAGGAAGATAAATCAAATAAATGCAATCAAATATGATTATGATGATAATGTTAATCATCATCATCATCGTCATGTAATATTTATGATTACAAGTTGGAAATGTCAAAAAATTAGATCAACTGATCAGCAAACAAATACAAAGAAATGAAACAAAACAAAAATGCCAAATTAAAGTGACAATTTAAATCAATAGCAATCAACGGGAGTTATCAAGTAATCAAATTAAATTTGATTACTTGATAAGCAAAAATTTCATCTCTCTTTTCATTAACAATCCAAGGTGGTCGGATTAACTCAATCAACAATAATCTTCAGTTAATCTTAATCTTTATGTTTAATCAAGTTTGAGGTTAACTGAAAATTGGAAATTTGAATAATTAACAATTTATGTTATCATGTTAACACTTTATCACCAGCGGGAGATGAGACAATGTATTTGTCACCACAATTAACGCTTCAATTGATCAAATCTAATCATATAGACGTAATTAAAAAGAGGGAGAGAGAGAGAGAGAGTGAGATTATCCTCAATCATGGTAATTAACGATAATTATTAAGAATTTTTTTTTCCAATTCTGAGATAAACATGAGATTTAAGTTTCATTGAGAGGATCAGGATAGATGATGATGAGCACTTGTAAGGTAAAGTTGACAGGAGTAAATATGATTAACAGAGGATGATGATAGTGATTAAGATGAAGGTAAAACTTTTGAATGTCATCATCATCATCTTATCATCTTTGGTAGTGATGATAATATTTCCTTTTTTCTATTCATTAGATAATACATAACCTGTATCACAGATTATTATCACTTGAATACTATGAAGTATTTTCAAGATGAAAAGGTGAGTCCTTATTGGGTGGGTTCATGTTTACAGTTGATGATGTCTTTGGGTATCTTGTCTACTTTGTTATCATCTCTGTCTTTTTTGTCATCTCTCTCTCTCTCTCTCTCTCTCTCTCTCTCTCTACCATCCAATGTGCGTGTGAGCTTGAATCGTGCAAAAGGTAATATGTGTATGTATTGATCTTCAGTATCATCATGAATCCCAAAACGAATCAACAAGATGAAGTTGAAAAGCGGAAAAGACATGTCACGCCTGATCGATACATTGATTATCGTATTGAAGAGGAAGATGAGGATGAGGATGAAAAAGGCTAAAGCTTAATAGTAACTAATTAGTTGGTTCTTGGAGAGAGAGAAATGAAGATGAAGGTAAATATAAGGAATGGTTTTTGCTTCTATTCTTTGGTATCTAATGTGATCATCAAGCTTCAGTCACTTGGAAGATGAGGAATAGATAGAAAATGAATATAACATTGAATTCAGGTAAATTTTTTTTCTTCTCTCTCTCTCCCAGATTAACATTGAGCTCACTAATCATCATCATTATCATCAATATTTTAGTGTGTGGTCGTTCAATCATATCAAATTATCCGAATCATTTGATTTGATGTTAGTCTTGTCTCATTTGGTTTGTTTTTCTTGCCCAAATTATCAATTGATAATTTCAATTTCTCAATTCAATGTTTGTTCATTTGTTTGCTAATTATTGGGAAATTTTTTCAAATATTAAATAATGATAACACTTTTGTACCACTCTTGACCGCTGTCCACTTTTCTTTGGACTTGTATTTGGAAAGAGATGGACATGAGTCCATTAAAATGTTATGGGAAAATAGTTGAGTCGTTGGAAAACAAGTAAGGTCACTTTCTGGTCATTGAGAATTCAAATTGTGTGACAAAATTTTGAATAAGTTTTTCTTGTTGATAAATTTTGGGTTAATTTTGTTGTTTAGTAACAATTTGATTTGCTTGTTTTCATATCAAATTAACAATGAAAAATGTAAAAAGTTTTTCAGGCAAAAAGGTTGACAATTTTGTGTCTATTCAATTGTTAACAATTAACACGCCTTGATTTTAATTCTGTTTGATAATTTCGTGTTTCTTAAATAACCCTAACAATTTATTGTATTATTATTGTACTTTGATCATGTTGATGAATAAACTAATCAAATTGAATTGGAAACGCTTGTCTATCACAATTGAGAGTTAACAAGACATCGTATCCAAAGACAATCCTAATATGACAAAAGAGAGAAGTAGAAAAAAAGTTTTCTCATCTTCATCCTCATCACTTTTGCCTCTCTCTTCATCATCTCATAATCTATGGATGTAAATTAATTGTGATGATGATGATTAACCTCAACTATTGATTGTTAAACATGGATTAGTTGTTGTTGTTGGTGTTTGGTGTGTTTTCTGTCCGATTGTCAATTGATACAAAATAAAGTGTCAACTGAATGAAGTTTTCAGTTCCGCTTTTTAACCATGGAACCAATTGGACTTTGTTATGGTCCAATAAACTGTAATGGATGATGAAGGGAGAGATGAACAAGAAGACAAGGGATGATGATGAAGAAAAACTGAGCATCTTCATCTTGATTAGCAAATTTACACCAAGAAACAAGGTGAAAATTCAGACATTCAGAATTAGCAAGCTTTTTAATATCTTCAACTACTTATTGTTATCTATTGGTTAGCATCAATAATATTTAATAATCTCTCTGGATAAAATATCATAATCATCTAAGTGCCTTTTTTTATTGAATATTAATCTGATAAGAATTAGTTTTCATCGATATTGTTATGAAATTTACATTGTTATCCGTTTTCAATTTACTCTCTCATTGATTCCCTTTATTTGGTGTAAACCATTTTCAATAACAATCTAATATTAAGCAGTTTAATATCACAATTTAATACTCATTGTCGATTGATGTAAATGGTGTTAAGTTGTTATTAAAATTGTTACACTTTTCACTGATTGTTTGTATTTTAAGGGTTGATCACTTGATTGCTATAATCGTAAATACATTTTTACCTGATGATGATAATTTTTGATGTAAATTGTTGATTTACAACAAGAAAAACTTTCATGTTGACTTTTTGTATGGATAAAAATTGAAAGAGAAAAAAAAACTTTACTTTCTTTCTCTCTCTTTCTTTGTATATACCTTTTGTTGTCATCATCATCATCATCATCATCATCATCACTTAGGGTTTACTTGATGAATAGGGTTTCGTCAAGGTCGATTAGCATCGGGACTCAAACGGGAATCATGAGGTGGGTGGATAAGGAGGAGGAGAAGGTGAAGAAAAATAATAATAATATCAACATGAAATGCAATTGAATACGAGAGAGAGAGAGAGAGAGAGAGAGAGAGAGAGAGAGAGAGAAGCCATTTAGAGGGAAGATTAAATTTCTGTCAAATTTGTTGCAAAAACTATCGACACCACATTATGAATGATATTAGGAAAATACAATGATACTACTTACAACAATCAAGAATGAAAAAAACCAATGGGCAATAATACGGTTTGGTTAAGGTTTTTACTTTGCTTTTTGTTGTAATGAAACTGCAACAATTGTAAATTGCAATTGCAATTTAGTTTTCATCACTTCTCTTCATCATCATCTCTAAATGGTATTAAATAGACACACTGGATAAAAACATGGATTCAGTTACAATGTCCAAATGCATTTACCTTTATGGTGTAACAAAAATATCGTAAAAACTGTTGGACAAAAGTATCGACTATCAACAGAGAATGAGAGAGAGAGAGAGAGAGTGATAACTATTTGAGATTCTCTATCCAATGGAAGATTGTTTTTCTCTTCTTTTCATCTTCTTCATCTTCATCCTTATCATTATCTTCATCTTCATCTTCCTCTTTGTTGTTGTCATCACTTTTACTATGATAATGATATCATGTTACCCGTTTGCTAAGGGATGAGGATGGAAAAGGTAACAATGGGATAACCAATAAAAAAGTAATTCAATTTATCATTAATATTTAATTTTTCAGTCTTCACTTTTTGCTTTTTTGATTGTTCATCGTCATTAAATTAATATTTTATTGTCATTTAATGATTTACTGATTACTTGATGTATTATTTACCCGCTGAGAGTAAATTAAGTTAATGTAATCAGTTTCTGTTGATAACAATCAAAGTTAATTTAAGTGAAATCATTTATCATTGATGAGGTTGATTTTTTTGTAGATTGATGATTTAATTATGATTCAATCAAGATCTAAATTAATCTTATCATTAAACAATTTAATTTGTTTCACTGTAGGAGGTTTAATTGGGTTACAATTAACTTAATTATGTCTTGTTATTTAAATTTACATTTCAATGTATCTACTTATCAAATTATTTAGTTTTTTTTGTCAACCTTAATTTAAATTCACTTTCACTTTTTTTTTGTTACTCTTCAATTGGGTAATTAAATTAATTGTGATGATGGCAATTAATTTTTTGCTCAAGTTTTGTCAACATAATCAATGGAAATCACAATTAACAGTTGATCAAGTTAATCAATGTATTATTATAAACGTAATCACAGATATCACAATTAACGACAATTGATTTTGCCTGATGGTTAAATGATTGAACAAATTGTAACAACAATTAACTTACCATAACAAAAGTTAACTTAAATTGATAATATTGGAATCCAAATGATGATGTTGATGATAATGTTTAAGGTAATTGATTAACATTTGATGGGAACAATTTAAGCCAAACCAAGTTGATTAATATAATCAAGTTGAATAGTCCAAGTGGTTTGTTGTTGCTGTTAATTTGAAACAATTAAGTAATTTAAAAACAAAACCAAATCAACATATAAACACAAAACTCACACAATAAACATACACACACAATTGACTGGGTTAATTATTATTACAATTAGTTGATTGATTATCAATAAATTGTGTTGACACAGGTAAAGTTGATTGTATAGTCCATGTCCTTTTTTTTATTGATTTACTTGATTAAAAATTAGTAAGTAAGGTAATTAGCAAAACAAAAAAGATGAACACAATCAGTTAATTAGGAAAAATTTTTCTTTTCTTTAATTAAAAGTTTGTCGCAGTTTTGATGACCAGGTTTTGGTTAATGAGAATCAAGTTGTGAAGTTTAAATTTGTTTCCACTTTTATCATTACGATGATTTTTATCCAACACACACAATCAATACTAACAATCAGTAAATTCAATTGGCAAAAACTACAACAATTTACTACTAACTAGTTACGCATCCCAATGAATACCCTCCCTTTAGAGTGGAGAAAAGGAAACTCCCACTTTCCATCCGTAAATCCAACAGTATGAGAGACAAATGATTCTCCCACCTTGTAGCCTATATTTTCCACCCCAACACATCCACAGAGTGGAAACAATTTTAAGTACAAGGGAGGAAAAAGGTGGAGCCTCACAGAGGAAAAAAAGTGGGTGGAAAAAGGAGTGGCTTGTGGAAGAAAGAGAGAGAGAGGCGAATGTGGAAACTGGACAAAAGCAGAAAGATGAATGATCGAGATCACGAATTTTGGACATTACGTCGATTAGCGTCTTCTATGATTCCATATTAGAATTACTTTTTCTCTGTTCTCGTTTTGTTGATTTAGTTTAAATTAGTTTATGATTCTTTTTGTTGTGTTGATTATTGGAAATTTTTCTTGCAATTGTTCAATTGGTGATTAAGTTTTTCGATTTGTTTTCGAAAAACTTTTCATTTTGTTTAATTACTTTTCTGTTTGTCACTGAAATTTGGACTGTTGATCATTTCTTTTGTCTTAAATAGCTTTCTGATTCATCTTTTTGATTTGTATAATTAAAAATTGTGTTTTTTTGTTATTGTGTTTTTCTTAATTGTTGTCACAATTTTTTCACAATTTTATCAATAATTAACCGATAAGCTTGCGACATCTTTTGACCTTTTTTCAAACTAATCTAAACGTCTAATTTGTTACTAGACATTTTTTCGGATTAATTTAAATCTAAATTTCGGTTGATTTTTGATTAATTTGATTGGATTAGACACATTGATTATTTCTTGAAAAAGAAAATTTAATTTAATCTCAATCAGACTATCACAACTGAAATTAAAGGTTGATTGTGATTAAACCTTTCCAATAATTTAAGAACCAGTATCAAATATAAACTCAAACTAATTAAAAAACCAAACTGTATGTTAACCAATTGATAATTATGATCAACAAGAATTGATAAAAACAAATCAGATTAGTTAATCAATTAAAATCTTTGAAAATTGATTAAATTGTCATCCAATCCATGTTTGAGTTAAACGCGAATTCTAGTTTTCCAATTCATGAAAAAAAAAGAAAAAGCAAGTGTTAATCTCAAAGTACCCAAGGTTATTAAGCTTAATTGTTGATTAAATTGTTGCAATTAACGAACAATCAATTTAATTATTTGCCGATGATCAACGCCATCTATGAATGGAAATTGTAACTATTTTTTGCTCTTTTTGTGAGAAAGTACCGGTATCAGCGCCATCTAATGTTTCTTTTGTAAGATAAAGTTTAGATTTTAATTTTTCTGTTGCTTTTATTTTCACGATGTTTTGATATTTTGTAACAACAATTAATTATTTGTAACTCTAATTGATGGTGTTTAAATTTTGGTTCTTTTTTTATCATGAAACCGGAAAGTTCATGTGAATCAGAGGAAAGTGAAGATCACCAAGGTGGAGGATCCAATAGAGGAGAGTGAGTATTTTGTACTCGCCAGTGTTTTCCTTTTTTCTCTTCTCCATCTCTTATGCTTTTCTTTTAAAGGGTCACCCGTACAATCTAGACAACAACTTTTTCTTTTCTCCATACATATTGATGTCATGTCTCTCAATAGTTGTTAGAGAAAGCAAGGCCTTTGTAATTCTTTTCTTCATAAACACTCTCTCCCTCTCCCTCTCTTTCATTCTCACTCATTTATCTTCTCCTCACACTGTACATTTATACTACACTCACACACTACACACATTCTTATGTACAAATACACACTCACAACATGAACCATTCACACTGTTCATTCAAGATAAACCCCCTCTCCTCTTTGAAAGGTATCTTGTTAGATGAGAACCTTATTTTAAATTAGATTTATTAATCATCAACCATTTTGGTCACTTAACCAGTTGATCTACTTGTTGTCTCAACCTTGGCTGACCTTTACTTTTACCATTGACATTGTCCTTTTGTCGATTTGTTCTGTCTTATTTATCCTTCATCAGCATTTTCTTTACTCACCTCCACCTGAAGAAGAATATTGTTTTTTTTTTCATTCTATTCTCATATTGTTTTCATTTTCTCTAATCATTTTCTTTTCTCTTTTTTTCTGTGTTTTTCTTTCTCCACTCTCACTCTCACTCCTTTTCTCTTTTTACAATCAACAGTTCAGAAGATTGGGATGAAAGTGACGATTCAAGCTCGTCATCGGATACATCTGAGGACAATAATAGTGAACCATCATCTCCAGTCCGTAGACCCGCTGGTCGATCAACTCGAACCTCTACCCGTAGATCAACAGCAGCCTCTGTGGCAAGAAAAGCGCGTCAAACAACCACAAATAACAATAGAGGTAGATCAAGACGCCGAATGAAAAGTAGTGAGACAAGTGAAGAAAGTGAAGAAACCGAAGAAGAAGATGATGATGAAGATGAAGATGAAGAACGTCGTGGTACCCGGCGACCTCAAAAGATTGTCAGTTATAAGGAAGAAAGTGACCGTACCGATTCAGATGATCTGGTTGAGGTACAATGGGATGAAGCTGCTGAAGCAGCAGCCGCTGAAGCCGAAGCCGGAGAAACCATTGAAAAGGTTATAGCTCACCGTAAAGGTAAAAAAGGTGCTACCGGTGATGCAACCAAACCATATAATGTTGAATTCAATGGTGATCCAAATGAACCTGAATGTCATGATGAGGATCAACTTGAGGTGCAATTTTTAATCAAATGGAAAGGCTGGTCTCATCTTCATAATACATGGGAAAGTGAGGAAAGTCTATTAGAGGTTAAGGCTAAAGGTATTAAAAAGATTGAGAATTACTTAAAACGTGAAGAAGAGGTTAACCTGTTACGAAATTCAGCATCACCCGAGGAGATTGAATACTTTGATTGTCAAGAAGAAATGGCCGATCAATTATTAGCTCAACACATGAAGGTTGAAAGAATCATTGCCCATCAACCTTCCCGTGAAACTGATACCTCTTACCCTGAATATCTGTGTAAATTTGAAGGTTTGCCTTATGCTGAATGTACCTGGGAAGATGGTTCACTTATCCAAAGAAAATTTCCCAAAAAAATTGAAGAATATAATATACGTCAAAAATCACAGAAAACACCGACTAAATTTTGTAAAGTACTCAAAACCCGACCTAAATTTGTTCCATTGAAAAAAGAGCCTGATTACCTTGGAGGTGAAAATTTATTAACTCTACGTGATTATCAATTAGATGGTTTAAATTGGTTAGCCCAAACCTGGTGTAAAGAAAATTCCGTTATACTTGCCGATGAGATGGGCTTAGGTAAAACAATACAAACAATTTGTTTCCTTGCTTATCTTTATGAACAACACTCATTATTTGGACCTTTTCTCCTTGTGGTTCCTCTTTCAACCATGGCCTCATGGCAGAAAGAATTTGAACAATGGGCACCACAATTAAATGTCGTCGTTTACATTGGTGATATAAGTAGTCGTAATATAATCCGTCAATATGAATGGTGTCACCCTGGTAATCGACGTTTAAAATACAACGTTCTTTTAACAACCTATGAAATCTTATTAAAAGATAAAAGTTTCCTTCGATCTGTAAACTGGGCTATCCTTGGTATCGATGAAGCTCATCGATTAAAAAATGATGATTCACTTTTGTATAAAACTCTGGTTGAATTTGACACTAACCATAGGATACTTATTACTGGTACACCTTTACAAAATTCACTACGAGAACTGTGGGCACTTTTACACTTTATTATGCCGATTCGTTTTAATGAATGGGAAGAATTTGAGAAAGAGCATGCTGATTGTGATACCAAGGGTTATTCTAAATTACATAAACAATTGGAACCATTTCTTTTACGTCGAGTTAAAAAAGATGTGGAAAAATCTTTACCAGCCAAGGTTGAACAAATTTTACGTGTCGATATGACGGCTTTACAAAAACAATACTACAAATGGATATTGACCAAAAATTATAAAGCTCTGGCTAAAGGATTAAAGGGAAGCTTTTCTGGTTTCGCCAATATAATGATGGAATTGAAAAAATGTTGCAACCATGCAAGTCTAATTAGACCCAATGATGAATCGATTAGCAGTATTGATGCGGTAACTAAAATAATCCGTGGAAGTGGTAAATTGGTTCTACTTGATAAACTTTTGTGTCGTCTTCGTGAAACCGGCCATAGAGTGTTAATTTTTTCTCAAATGGTCCGAATGTTGGATATATTAGGTGACTATTTAACCTTACGAAGATTTCCATTCCAGCGTTTAGATGGTTCAATTAAAGGTGAACTTCGTAAACAAGCATTGGAACATTTTAACGCTGATGGTTCAATGGATTTTTGTTTTTTACTTTCAACGAGAGCTGGTGGCTTGGGTATTAATCTTGCTACTGCTGATACTGTAATTATATTTGATTCTGATTGGAATCCACAAAATGATCTTCAAGCTCAAGCTCGAGCTCATCGAATTGGACAAAAAAATCAAGTAAATATTTATCGTCTTGTAACAAAGAACAGTGTTGAAGAGGATATTATTGAAAGAGCTAAAAGAAAAATGATTCTCGATCATCTTGTTATTCAACGGATGGACACAACAGGACGAACTGTGCTCTCTAATAATAAAGGAAGTAGTACCTCTAATGTGACACCATTTAATAAAGAGGAATTGGCCCAGATTTTAAAGTTTGGTGCTGAAGAATTGTTTAAAGAGGGTGAAGAAGGTGAAGAAGAACCTCAAGTTGATATTGATGAAATTCTGAAAAGAGCTGAGACAAGAGAGGAAGGACCATCTTCAGCCAGTGATGAGCTTTTAAGTGCTTTCAAGGTGGCCAGTTTCAATTTTAACGAAGAGGAAGTGACCAACATGTCAACGGAAGCATTGGAAAAAGATGATGAAAATGGTAAAGAAAAGGATTGGGATGAAATTATTCCTGAAACGGAAAGAGCCAAAGTTGAAGAAGAAGAGAAAGAGAAAGAGATGATTGATCTTTTTCTACCACCGAGAATAAGAAAATCAGCCAATCAACAAGCTCATCCTTCTGATAGTAATGATGATTATGATCCATCCATGGCCAAAAGTAGAGGTGGTGATTTTGGAAGTGATGAATCTGAAGGAGAAACTCGTGCTCGTCGTAGAGGAAGACCTCGTGCCAATGCCAAAGAAGGGATCCCTGGTTTTACTGAGACCGAGATCAGGAGATTTATCAAATGTTACAAAAAATTTCCCGTTCCCATGAAAAGATTAGATTCAATCGCAATTGACGCTGAATTACAAGAAAAGCCAATGGCGGATCTTGTCAGATTAGCTGAGCTTTTGCAAACTGGTTGTGAAAATGCAATTAAAGAATATCAAGCTAAACAAGCTAAAGAAGCTCAAAATGAAGATACAAACGGTAAAAGTTAAATTCGACTCTTTTTTTCCCTTCGAATCTCAAAACTGTTACTAATTATTATTATTCATATGTTTTTCTTTTCTCTTTCCAATTACCACAGGGACCCCACAACCAAAAAAGCCGGCTCATAATCGAGGTCCAAATTTTAAACTCGGTGGTGTTTCCATTTTTCCTAGGAACCTATTAGGTTGTCAACAAGAGCTTGAACCACTCGAGAAATTACTCCCAGCCACATCTGAAGCCAAAAAAACGTAATTGAATATTACATTATTAACCAAGTGATTCATTGATTTGTCATCAATCTAATTACGATACAAATCAATGATTAAGAGAAATTTAAATTTCTTCATATGTCAATAAGATTGTTTTAAATCATCTTAACAATCACTTACAAACGATTTCATTTTTTGTTTTCTTTCACAATCCAAACTTAATTTGATTTTGTAAACGATTGTTAATTATCCTTCATTGTTGCTTACAATCTCTAACTGTCTTTTATTATGTAAATTAAGTATATTAATGATTTTTTTTCTTTTTTTCCCTCAACATTTAGATGGGTCTTAAAGGCCAAAGTTAAAGATGTAAGAGATTGGGATGTCCCTTGGGCCATAGAAGACGATTCTAAATTATTAGCTGGAGTTTATGAATATGGAGTCGGGAGTTGGGAAGCGATTAAAATGGATCCATCGTTTGGATTAGCTGACAAGGTTAGTTATTGATTTGATTCAACAATTAAAAAGTTAGAGTTGATTGTCAAAATGTACCAAACTTATTAATCCTAATTGTTTTTATTTTTTATTGTTTTTCTAAAGATTCTACCCGATGGAGACCTTAAACCACAAGGAAAACAATTACAAACTCGAGTTGATTATTTACTGAAAGTGTTACAAAAACTGTTAATGGCCCAGAAAATTAAAGAAGAAATTTCCAAACCAAGGAAAAAAGGTCTTCCCAAAGGATCTCGATTAAATGACAACAGTGAACCGGGTGGAAGTGGCCTAGGTGAAGATGGAAGTAAAGTGAAAGGTGGATTTCGTCGGGATAAATCTGCCAAAAATAAATCGAGTAACAAAGATTCTGATAAAAGTCATGGAGATAATGTTAATGGTCCACATGATGGTAAAAAGAAGAAAAAGAAAGACCACAAAAAGGATAAAAAGAAAAAGAAAAGAAAACATGACATATCAAGACAACCGTTACATATTACGGCAAATGCTGAGCCTCAGATAATTGACATCGCGGGTGACCTGGAGCCGCACATATTTGCCCAATGTAAAGAAAAGATGAGACCGGTGAAAAAAGCCTTGAAAATGTTGGATAATCGTGAAGAAGGTTTATCAACATCGGAACAATTAAATCATATGAAACAGTGTTTAACCAAAATAGGTGCTCGTATTAAGGATTGCATGGATGAATATAAAGATGATGTAGATAAATCTCGAGAATGGAGAAACAGATTATGGACTTTTGTCTCAAAATTCACTGAATATCCACCTAAAAAATTGTATAAATTGTATAAGTCAACAATTAAGAAACCAGATGATTCAAGTTCCAGAGATAGTGATCATTATCCAACCTCATCTAAATCATCAACCCATCATAATCGTTATAATAGTAGTAGTAGTAGTAGATATAAACATCGTCATTCATCACCACGAAATCATAGTAGTAGTAAATATTATGGTATGGATGGTCCACTGGACGACTTACCTTCAAATTCATCAACCTCAAGTCATCATCATTCACAATATTCTCATCATTCATCATCATCATCCCATCATCATCACTCATCTCATCTTCCACCACCACCATCATCACATCTACCTCTCGGTCCTTCAACTGGTCCCTCAAAACGTCCACCAATGGGCAATTTATCCTCACCTTTAGGTACTCAATCAATATCACCTATGAAAAGACCTCGAAATGATTATCCGCCCAGTGGTCGGATTCCTCACCATTCTTACCCTCCACCACCACCACCACCTTCACATTCACCTTCCCTAGGCCATCCTTCGGCATCTATGTTACCTGATCATCATCTTAACAATTATGGTTACCAACAACAACAACGTTTACCACACAATATGGGACCTCATCCTCATCCATCTAATCATCCGTCACCTTCTACACGTGCATCTTGGGGTGGAGGAGGTGGTGGTGGTGGTGAAAGTGGAGGAGGTTCAAATCAATCAAGGTGTGATAGTAAATATGATCATTCCGAGAGGCAAGACAGATATCGACCTTATTCAAGACCTGGCATCGATATTCCAGATAAAATGTATCGTCATTAACACACACACACACATCAACACCAACAGCATGTATTAAAATAAACAACAAATCAACAATGTAAAGAGACTTATCCACCATTTTGTCTTAAATTTTGTCTTATATTTGTTCAGATATAAGTTAAACGCGGGATGTTTCAATAAAGTTTTTTGTACAAATATCAACTTAAATTCAGTTTGTCGAAAATATGATTCTCGTGTTTCTTTCACTCAACTTAATTCACTATCTTGAAAATAATCTCGAATTACAAAATCATCGAGGATAATTGCGGTACAAATGAATTTAACCAAATATCGAAATCTTTGCTCCAATTTCTCAATGTACAGTAGTATATCCAATTGTGTATCTTTGAATGATTGGAGGTTTTTTCAAATGTCTTTTGCAAAAGAAAATGTTCTAAGATTGATAATTGGTGGAGGATTTATTCACTTTAATGCCGATCAATTTGAAACTTTGGTACATTGAAACGATGCGAATATGCAATCGGTTTGAGTTGATCAATTCATGGAGTAACTTTGGTAAAGATACGAAATAGGTTGAAATATGTTTAACAACAATTCCAAGAATCTGGTTGAAATCGTTCCCGAAGATATTGATGACCCTAGTTACCCATAACAAACAGAAAGATTCAATTTATATGTGCTAGTGTCAACGTTCATACGTAGTTAAATTGCTAGGGAAAGATCAATATTCCTGATACTTGATTTCGGTAGATGATTTATTTCCCTATCAACCTGGACACTGAATTTATATGGTGTTTCCCGATTGAAGAAACCAAACTTTCAATTGAGAAAACCTTTTTTTCATTTGAAGAACCACCAATAGTTTTACTCGTATTCCAATTGAGATCAATGGTTAGAACCCGAAATTACATTTTTGAGGAATTTTAAAGCGAAAATTTCTTGAGTAATTAGGTTTTATATTCAAAAGCATCATAAATTCGGTGTAAATCTCATTTCGACTTGGAATTAATTAATCGAAATTAAAAGCCCGTGTGATTTCTTAAATGGAAACTTGGTTTCTTCAATCGCGAAACAATTAAATTTATTAGGGTGCCCACTTGAAGGTTCCTCCTAAAAATTGGATTGACCTGAAGAATTTCCAATAGCAGAATTGGACTCGTGCGGTGTTACACTAATTAAGAGGCCGGTCAAAAGAGTCCAAAAAAACTGACGCGATTAAAACCAAGAAAAGTCTCGATTGAAAAACATACCACAGAAAATTTTAGTTTTTCTATTAAACTCTAAGGTAATTCAGTAACAGTTAGGTTTTCGATGCGACCGAGTATTTGACCTGATCGTCGAAATTATGAATACAAATTATTCACAATATTGAATATTGAATATTTCCCATTCTTGCCCAAGTTAATCCGAAAATTGAAAACATAAATCGAAGGCATTAATGTAAATAAGTGAAACGATGAACGAAAAATTTAAATGGTGGAAATTATTTTATTGTGATTATTATTTAATTCATACAAATGATCAATTATTATATTAGTTTAATCATTTAGTAAACATTTTGGATTTCATTGGATTCAAAGAGCAGCGTAAAGATCATCATGAGGGTTGATTCTGACTAATTAATCAGCCTAATTAACCTTAACAAGCTATAGTCACACCCATAGCACCCACGCACGTCGCACCTGTCGTTCCAGGAGCAGCAGAAGTGGTTGCATCGCCATCCGCTCTTACATGACGAGTTTTCATTGATTGTCGAATAGATCTCGCAAGCCAAGTTGTAGGCATGGAATAAGCTCCGATGATAGTCATCAAAAGTATGAGAACTTTAAAAATCGAACAATTCATAATGATGATTAGATGGTGATAGATGATAGATGACAATTTTATCGACACACGAGTAAAAACTTTAGAAACTTGCAATGTTGTTGATTAGATTGAATGATTTTAAATGATAAAATTTGAGTAAAAATTGATCTTTTTTATACTTTTTCAGAACAAGGAATTCCAACTAAATTGGTTGGACCAATGAATAAACTTAACTACTTACTAGACAAATACAACAATCAGTTGATGCTTAGGAAACGGAAACACTTATTTTCGTTGATTCTGAATCAACAAAATATCTAATTTTCAATCCAAAATTAACTGAAACTATTGATCCAGATGAATTTTAGTTGTAAACAAAATGCAAATTAATCACAAATAAAAGTAAAATTGTATTCAAAAGTGACTCTTTCTTCCAGGTGATCAGTGTGTAGATCAACAATTCACATAAATTTGTCTCGTTCTGCACTAGATCTAGACTCAAAAGACAATTCGTAAACTACAGGGATGCTAAGAAAGAACGGACGTAACGTTTAGTAACGAAAAGATTTATTTTCGTAGAATTTGAATTCATAAAACTCGATTTTAAATAACCAAAATATCTAAGAAAAAAAGAAGACACTAATATTAATAATCAAAATCGTAGTTAATCATAATTTCATCAAACATCTAAACTAACAACTTTAAAAGTTAAACGCGATAACCTTATCATAACAAAAGTTAACAGTTAATGATGATCTTATTTCCTGATGAATTTATCACTAATTGAAGTTCCCCAGCACCATGAGATTTAACATGATAATCAATTCGATTTGTAATTGTATTGACAATTTTTCCGACTGTCAACATGATCGCTAAGATTCAAGCATCTTAAAGTTATTCTGACTATCATCTGAGCTTTTTCCTTTCATACAACTTGAACTTCTTCCAGACCATTGCGATGACCAGCTAGAGGCTCTCCCGATGCTGAAAGACCTTTACAATATTGACAATTTATTAATGGATTTACACCACTCCACTAATGAATATTCTTGAGGAAGAAAACTTTCGATTTGGGTTTGATTTGGTTAGTTATTATTGATTAAACAGATTGATTGAACGTGATGATTGATCAAATTGATTTGTTTACATTTACAATTTTCATTAATTTATTCATCAATTGAGACAAAACCTTCAATTCCAAAAGAGTCCATTATTTACCTGGTAACATGAGTTATAATGTTTTTTTCAATTTAACTGATCAAGAACAATAAATTTTTAGTCTTCCGATAATAATAACGAGAAAAAGTTTATCTATTAATAATAAACATTGAAAAGAAATCAATATTATTTTTATTATCTGGATACATGTTTCTAAAAAATAGGAAAGTACAAAATTAACGAAGATTATTGTTACAGATGAAATTTTGTTTATGGCCACGATAGTTTATTACTGATTCAGTTTCTTTGAGTTCACTGTCGCAAAGATTCAAGTAATTGTGAGTCTTTTTTATATCTTTTGCATGAGAAAAATAGTCTTGATTGATAACTGTGATTAAATATTCTATTTATTTCTCTATTATTGATTAGATGGTTGGTCTGACTACTAATTGGGTTGTTGGCCGTTTAATCTTTTTCACTGATTTACATTTATGCCAATCAACTTCGAACTTTGGTCCATTGAAAATAATGTGAATATGCATTCGATTGGTGTAAGTCAATTTTTGGAGTAACTTTGGTGAGAATAGGAAATATTGTGATGAATTTGTACTCGCAGTTTCCACGATCAGGTCAAATACTCGTCGTTCATTGGTATCATCCATACCCTAATTTTCATCAAATGATAAAGAAACAAACAAAAAAGAATTTAAAATTAATGATTAGAATTATCTTAGTAAGTAAAATGAATGGTTGTTAAATTACTTGATTGATTTCATCGACAATTCGGAAAGGCACTTTGGTCAGTTCTTGTAAAGCAATCATATAAATCATCGTGGCCACACTTCGTTCACCTCCACTCTGATGGAAAGCAGACAATTCCTTAAGTACCTCATTGTCACGATAACGAACTTTAATACAAATTCCATATGTAGAGAAATCGTCCTAAAACCAATCATAAAAACAAAAAAAACAAAACAAGAAAAGATTTAGAAGTGAGAACTGATTTAATAACACATTGGGTATGAATGTTTTTCTATTTACCACATCATCACCATGAGAAAGAGAGACTTCACCAGCATACTCGAGACGAGACATGAATTTTGAGAAATTTTTATCAATTCGAGAAATAAGAGCTTCGACTGCGGGTTTCCATCGATTTCGATAATTTTCAAGATCACTTTCCATTAACTTTAGATCAGCTGATACCAAATCTATTTCTTTTTTCCGTTTTTTGACTGCGTTTTTCTGCTCATTGTAATCATTTAGAACGGTGTCATCACAAAACTCTTCCATGCTGTTCATTTGTAAGGCGAGTCGTCTCATCTCAGCGTTGATTTCAACAATAGTATCTGGAAGTGGTTTGAACTTTTCTTTGACAGTTGTTGGCAATTCTTGACCTTGACAATCAACGGCTATTTGAGCCTCTTTTTGTCTCTCTTTGGCGATCTTTTTCTTCTCATCACGAACCATTTTAAGCTCTTCAATTTCTGTAGCGAAAGTTTCAAACGCAACATTTGCTTTGTCAAGGTTTTCTTTAGCTCTTGCAAATCGTTTTTGTGAACAATTGGCCATCACATCAGAAGCAAGTTTTTTCGTATTAATGGTAACGCACTTTTCGAGTGCTCTTTCAAATAGTTCCAATTTCTCGATCTTCTTGATCACAAGAGATTCAATGATTGTTTTAGTTTCACTTTTTTCGACTTCTAAATTGATTGAATCTTTCATTTTACGTTCTATTTGTTCACTTTTCTGCTGGATTCGAGTTTGAATGGCCCGTTTCTCGTCTCTTTTCTCGAGTAGTTGCTTTCTGGTATCACGAAGTGTAACAAGTTCCCGACGAAGGTCAGTAATTTTCTCATCGAGAGCCAATCTCTCAGAATCAAGTTTTTGACCTGATGTCCGAATATTATTGATCTTTGACTCAATTTGATCTTTACGAACAGAGTCAATAATCATAACAAGTAAACTTGGATCCTTGAGGCGATCGGTGGAGATTACCTTTTCTCTATCGTAACGGGAAACAGTCCAAGAGTGTGAAGTGTTACCACAAAAGAATCGTTGAATTTGATTATTTTCTTTAAGGAATCGCTTTGAGTCAACATCATTTCCTCCAATTGGAACGTTTTGAAGATTATAATTTTTACAAAGGTACCTTGTGATTGGAGGGGGAGCATCAAATAGATCTTTAATGTAATGTTTGAATCCATAGGGAGATATGTTATCAAGAGACAGTCGAGGATCCATATTGACATCATCTTGACCTGGAGCTTGGACAACATTTACATTGAGACTTTCTCTTTTCAATAGAGTAGTAAATTTCTTGAGATCATCGATATCTTCACAAACAAATGCAACTAAATCTCTCCTTGGAATCGTTGCTTCAACATATCGAATCCATTCAGCATTTTTCACATTAATTTGTGTCATTATGGGCTCATAAATCATTCGACTGAACTTTTCCTTATTTCGCCGTAACCAATCTGAAGCTTCAGCGACTTTCGGTTCAATCCTTCGGAGTAAATCTCGTCTTCTGGAGGCCACATTGTGAATTTGCTCGAATTCACCTTTAAGTTGACGATACTGGTCTCGTAATTTCTCAATATCAGATACGATCTGATCTTTTTGAGTAGTTAACTGTTTTAACAAAGAATTTTTGGTGCTTATTTCCGAGTCGATTGTTTTTATATTCTCACTAACATCTTCATCCGATGCGGCTGCTAATCTTTCTTGAAGTAACTTTTTTTCCGAATTTAATTTGGACAGTTCAACTAATCGAGATTCTTCGGCCTTTTTCTTTCCGTCTAGAGCGGCTAAAGCCTCGGCAATTTTATCACTCAACTTGTCATACTCTTTCTTATGGAGAGCGGCGGTAGCAGTGACTGATTTAAGTTCGTTGAGAGCACTTTTGGTATCAGCTGAGGCTTTTTCCATGGTTTTCTTTTCGTTGGCCACTTTGTCTTCAAGTGGCTTATTTTTGGATTTATTTTTGTCAAATTCTTTCAATTTCTTTTCTAAAACTGTTTTAGCCTTGACATATTCTTGTCGCACTTCTTCAAATTCAAGCCATGGTAACTTTTTCCTTAGCCAGGACATTTTTTCCTTGAACTGTTCCTTTTCTCGAACCCTTTCAACTTGTTCAACCATCCGATCAGTTAAATGTTGATCTGTAACCAATTGTTGATCGAGACTTGATTTTTTCTTCTTCAAATCGTTAATTTTTTTACTACAAAAGATTAATTTCTCATGCCATATAAACATGTTCTCATCACCGGCAGCTTTTTGGGTATTTTCCAATAACTGGACAGAATCCATTCGAGCAAATTCAACAACCTTTTCTTGAGGTAAAAATTGACACAAGTTACTAACTCGTATATTCAGACTAGAAATCAGCTCTTTTATCTCAGCTCCTTTTTTAGGAACATTGTTTAGTGTCCATTCAGTTTTACAATGACCATCAGCCACAAGAGAGATAAGTTTCCTCTTGATAATATGATTATCACCATTTGGATTAAACAATTCAATCTCTGTTGTTGCATGAGGACAACCAAATCTTATATATTCTGAAAGTGAACCAGACCTTCCAGTAGCCGATGGATCACCACCGAGGCCAACAATCATGGCACAAACAAGAGCAGATTTACCAGTTCCATTGGGTCCCAAGACCATATTAAGATAAGGTCCAGCATGTAGTTCGACTCGCTTGTAAGTCCTAATTTAGAACATGAAAAATAATCCAAACAAGAGAAAACAAGAAAAAAAGAGTCAGACACATAATTATATAGAAATAAACAAACAGACGATCATAAGATTGAGTCACATGTTAGAGCACATGAATTAGAATAGAACATAAAGATTTGCAGCTTACATGAAATTTCGAAGCTTCACCCTAATTATGGCTCCTTTGGTAAAAGGTCCATCGGAGATCGCGTCAGGTTCGCCCTGAAGTTCCCGATCAATTTGGTCGCTTCGTCTCTTCCTATTCCCCATGTTACAACCAAATATCTTCTCAGTATAAACAGAACATCAAACGACTAAAAACCATCCGAACACTGACACAACAAACGAACTAAAACGAAACACCAGATAAACGATTAAGAAAAGGAATCACAATTTGTCCGAATAAAACGAAATCAAAATAAAACTAATTTTCTTATAAAAAATTAAAACAAAAACAGAAGAAAACAAATGAAATTGGAGTTTTCCCGGTAAAGAGAAAAACAAAAACCGAAAGAGAAATGGAAAAGAAAAGAAAAGCGCCAAATTCAAACGAGAATAAAAAAATTCGAATTTGAACTTTTCTTTCCTTTTCTTCTTCTTTTTATCGCCTTCTATCAACTTGATCTTCTCATTACCACCAATCTAGTTAATCTTTTCTAAATCTAGTAAATTAATAGTGATCACAAAAAAGCAACACAATTCTAATCTTTCTTTTAATACATTAAGCTTTTCGAATGATGATCTTTTTTTTGTCTTCTTTTACTGAGAAGATTAATTTTTGATCAGAACTTTTTTTCGCTTCGAAAAAAAAGAAGAAAGAGAAAAAATAATTGACATTTAGAACAATTTATCTGTGATAAATTCGATTAGATTTTTTTATTTAACTTTTTTCTTTCATATATCAAATTGTATAGAGTTGAATTGGTTAACATTTGGAGTGATTATCGAGCAATTAAAACTCGAGGAGCACAAAATATTAAAGTTAATGAGCAAAAATCGTTTGAGAGATTTAAAGTTCCATTCGATGTTCAAATGTTATTCCATCAGTTCAGAAAGTTCAGGATAATCAGCGGCATAGGTTCGAGCGATTTGGGACTTCTGAATATCGATGGGCTGAGTTTTATCGTACCAAGACGGAGCCTGGATGAAAATCCCAACGGTTCCAGCGATACAAAGAAAAGTAAAGAACCAGAGGAAAATCCGATCGAGAACTAGAGCAACATATTTCCAATCTTCTCGCATCTGAAACAATCAAGACAATTAAGATGATAACAATTAACAATCGATCAAAACAATTAAACAAACGGAGGAAAAAAAACAGAAAATTAATCAATATTATCAACTCTTCATTGAACTCAATTGATAGATGGCGACTATTACACTGAAACAATTAAATCACCTTCTAAAATTGATTACCAACAATTATGATAGAAAAAGTTGAACAATTAAAATATATCGTACAATCTATTAGCTGGTTAAATTATAACAATCAATAAAGTGAAACCAAGTTTGGCCAGTTAATTGAAACAAATTGTTCCTCCATTAGATTAACAATTGTAATTTAAATTGTTTATAATCTAATAAACAATCAACATAATGACAATATTATTATTATGATGATGAACAATTTTTGCTTCCATTGAGAAAATTTGGTTCCCATATTAAATTGGTATCATATGAGAACCCTAATTGTAAATGATTAACATGATTATCGTTGATTGTTATTACCAAACAAGTAATACAATAGATAAACAAAGTGAAAACTATTGTAACAAATATAAATTATCATCTATCTCTTGTATCTCACTATTAACCTAAGGATAATTTTCATTAAAATGGCTCTCATTATGGTTAACATTATCATCTCAATCATCATCATCATGATTAACATCATCTTAACTCTCAGTATCATAATCATCATCTCCTTACATGATAATCATAATCATCATCAAGTTTACACACACATCAGCCTGAACATTATAATCAAAAAATGTGATATTTTATTAACCATATTATTTAATCATCATCATCATAACTGTAATAATGTTGTTATTTTTTTTCTGTATCAAATTTAATTCACATAAATTTTGATTGTTGAAGATTTAAAAAATTTGCATAATTCTGTCAATCATCATATTCATGATTATTGTTATTATTTCAATCATTTAAATTATCGTATATTCGTAATGTATATTGTATATTTAAATGTATTCAAAAGTTTCAACAATGAATGAGAATGAAAAAAATGAAATAGTAACAATAGAAATTGAATTCAGAAAATTAGTTGATTGTTGTTCAATTGCTTTATAAAACTCATCAACAATCAACGAGTTCATGATGACTGTTATTAGTTAGATATGATTGAAATGTTTGTTTTTTAATCGTGTTGACAAATCTTCATGTATTATGATCAAATTATTATTAAATTAACCTCACAATTTAACCCAAAGTGAAATTAATGATTAAATTGTTATCATGGCTGATTAATCAATGCTTGTTGATTGTCTATCTGTAAGATTACTCTTGTTTACCATCTAATCTTCAACATAAATGATTCGATTTTTAAAAGCTCTCATAGTTATCATCGGGGCTTTTTCCTTTCCTACAACTCGAACTTCTTCCAGACAATCTCGACGAACAGTTTCACCCGACCACAAGACAACAAATTCTACCGCTGAAATCACCATTGAAAGTTTTGGACATTAGAATTTCTGATCATCAAAGGTTTCACCCCAAGAGACATTCAATAGTATTTAATACATTGGCACTTTTCTCAACATGTCTTGTTTTCGGCTGTAATAATGTAACCAATAGATATTAGTCTAATCCTCACGAAATGATTTCATTGAAATTAACCTTTAATCTCAAGTAAACGAAAAGGTTTCAAAGGGGCTAATCAGTTGATTAACTTAACAGAAATTTGAAATAATTGAATCAATCTTGTTTGTCGACAATTTAATTTACCAATTGTTACTCTAGTTTTTTCTTTGTTGTTAAGTAATTTAATCTCAACACAAAGCAAAACCTTAAATCAATAAAATTGTTATTCTTGGTTTGTATTATTAGCTTGACTTCCACTTCCTTATCCAATCATGATGATCATGTTTGTATCGAATGCAATTTTATACATCATCCAATTAGATTAAATATTGAATTGCCACTTAATTCCTAATGGGTAACATCTCATTCCAAAATAATCTTTAACTCAATTCTAAGCCTTTTTTATACTCTTTCATCATCTTCTTCAGATGATAACATTAAACATCTATTTTAAGAAAAGGATAATATTTTCTTCGTCTTCTATTTTTCATCATTTTCATCTCTCAGAATTAATCCAAGAATATTATTCGTAAGTAAAAACCAAGTGATGTAACAATTTGAGAATATAATGAAAGACCATGAAAAGTTTCTTATTCTTTATCTTTCATCATTCTTAATCTTGGATGATCGAGAAGAGTAAAGTATTTATCATCATCATCATCTTTCTCTTTCTCTTTTCTCTTTTTATCATCAATCGATAAGCTTATCTGTATATTAAATGGAAGATATTATCATGAGATATCCACTCGTTTCCATCTAAATCTGCCCATGGAAAAAAATATCTACCATTTTCTTGAATACGATTATCTGTAAGTCGATAAGATAATTCAAATGCTGAGACTGTGAAAGTTTCAAGATGAAAAGATAAAAAAAACTCCCTGCTAGTTGAAAATATCTAATCTTAGAGTAGACATTTGACCGAAACCTAAATGCTACTCGAATATCTGATTATCTTGTGGTAATTTAATTTCCCATTCATCTTAATCTATGGTTTCAGTTAATTACATTTTCCAATGTATAATTAAATTAACCACAAGTCTATTGCCACCCAAACAAAATCCTTAATTGCTTTGATCATAACAGATCAATTATCAACCCATTAACTTTAAATAAGCAATAAAAAACAAAACGAAAAACTTGATCCATAAATCTCAACCATAATCGACAATTTAAAAAGTTCAAGTGAACTTTTTCACTCGATCAACTATTCAAATATTGCTGAGATAATATTGTCATGTTACCATTTATCATGTTACAATCAAAGTATATCGATTGATCATCAATAAGATGTAAGGTGTGATTGAGTATTAAATCCCATGGATTAAGATTCAACTTGTACATATACTGAGTTCATTTCATTTATTGTTTTTATATCCAGATGATCCCATGAATATATATTATATTATATTATCCATATCATGATTTGATAGATGATTTATATTCCAGATGATAAATTTGAACCTGATTAATATCATTTTTTTCATGGTAATGATAATTTCTGGTTCAATTATTTTCAAAGATTAGATTCTAAACATTAATAACCTTTAATTTTACTCAGTGAATGAACTTAATGAATCTTTTTAGAATTGATAAAATATTTATCACAACATTTTCCTTTACATCTCATCTAATGATGAAAAATTAGTTCTTACTTGAAAAGATGAAGCTGAAAAAAATTAACTGATAAATCATGAGCATCTTAATCATGACGAAACAACTGAATCAGAATTTTAAATGTTCACATGATTGAACATAAAGTAACTTGTTGATGAATTGGATTTAAGAATTAAAAAAGTTATCGAATCATTAAAGATTGAACTTTTTTTCTTTCTCTTCTCAAACTAATATAATAATAACCATAAGAATCATGAAAAACAATGAATCTTGGTGATAAAGATGTGAAGTGAATCTTAATTAGTGTTAAACTTAATTGCTGGTAATCAATTTTGATTAAGATCAATTAAATTGAGTCAATGTTGCAAAGTTCAATTTAACGGTTTATCCATCATGTTAATTGGCATGAGGAAAATTTGACAAATTCAGTGGGTGGAAAACTTTATCCTCTTGGGTTAGGATTCCCTCTTTTTACTTACAGATTCAAATTCATCGGCATTATCGATATGCTGAGCGATGAACATGGCATTTGTGATAGCTTTTTCGATCTCTCTTGGATAGCGAGTTGGGAACTCAAAGGATCGATGATGGTCAGTCACCGCTCCTGGAGAAGAGTCCAGTTCGTTGATAATCATCGGGTCACTTCCGGATGAGCCAATGATCCCATGTGAAGGTGTAGCTTTTGATTGAGCAGCAGTTGATGAGCTTGACCTTACCTGTGAAAGTTTAGCCTTTAACCTTTTCAATTTACTTTTACCTAATGAAAAGAAATGAGAGCAGAAAATATTAATTTCTTACCAAATTCAATTAACATGATAATTAGACTGTTAATCAATTTGCAATGTATTTATAAATTCAAATCCATGATAATATCAGCATAATCTATGTTAAATTGTGAATCTATTTAATTTATTACTGAGAGAGGGATTGAAATCTCATGCATAGTAATCAGTTAATTGTGGGACAAAATGTATACGTTATTTTTATATTCATGTCATTTTCACCTTCCCAATTACAATTAATCTGATCCTCCCTTTTCATGATGTTAATCTTCATGGAAATCAAAACAATACTACCAAAGGAAACTGGATGATAATGAACCTCGAAAATGCTGTAATATGACTCCCAAAGTTCTGACTGAAATAATAATATCATCACTTTTCCAACTCTGACTTTGTATGCAAGAAGAACTTTTTTTTATTCCATAAATATATTCTATTTCATCCTCTTCGATTTCAAATGATTGCGGTGGATAAGGACACACGAGAATTGGAATTGTTTTTTATTCCTTTAAACGAAACTCGAATAAAATAATAAAATATCACAACTTTGGATTGATTTTCGTTTTTGACTTTTTTTTGTTACTTTCACAATGTGAGAATCAAATTGTCACCAATTTAATGGTTGATGATTTGTCATCGAGATTGAATTAATTTCGATTGTTTGAAAAAAAAAATTCGAATTTCAAATTTGGAATCTGATTTTTTTTCACCTTATCTTCTCTTGAAGTTTCAGAATGAAAAATGTTCCTTCCCTGTTGATAATAAACACGAAGATAATGATTAATTAACTTTAATTAGACTCAAACTGTGTCAAGAGGTTACTCGTAATCAATTAACAAAGTTTAAAATAATTAGCAAACTTTTTTTGGTCTTGCCTTTCAAAAGCTTCAAGTTTGCTCACTGAAGTTTCTGAAACGATTCAGTTTTTTATTCATTAACATCATTATCTCATGATGATGAGGATGAAACCAGTAAGGTAACAGGAATGAAAATCGCAAGTAAAAGGATATTGGAAGAGTTGAGATGAGAAAACAAAGTTCCAATGGGTAATTAAAACTGTTGATAATCATCAGGAATGTTCATCAATCAATCGATAATGAGGAAAAAAAGTTCTAATCAAATTTATTCCACAAGAATCTCATGATAATAGTGATGATAAAAGAGTCAATAGAAAAGAAAATGATATTCTACTTTCTTTATATTCTCTCTTTTTTTGATTATTTGATTTCGTTTAGAATGGATAAAATCCAATTTGAATCTATTTAAAATGATACCTTTATGATGGAGTTATTGAGATGACGACTTCTAGTTCCGGGGTTCAACCTTCCGATTTACACCAAACACTCAGATCTCATGTTACTTTACAAGATATTCTGTTGGTATCTAAGACAATTTCTTGTTATAAGTAACAGAATTCATCTTCCATGTGAACTTTATCTTCGTCTCCTGAAGCCTTTTTTCTTCTCTTGAATACTCTATGTATTAATAAGAAGGAGAAAGATAAAAAAGGGCTTGAGGATATTTTCTCTCTCTCATTCATTTCCTTCCTAACCGGAAGATGATGTTGCCAGTATTTGACCATAAGAAGACAAGAAATAAGAAGTGAGAGAGAACGATCAAGCTTAATATCTTCGTCTATTTGTTTAGTTTCTTATATAATAATAACAACAACAGCAACTAAAAAGTAATCATTGCCAAAGAAGTGTAACTTATTTCTACCACCCACCACTCCCTTCAATCTACACCCTTTTCCATCTCATCATTTCTTTATCTTTTTACTTTCCACCATGATACATCTCTCTCTCTCTTTCTCCTTTATCTTCACCATCTTCTTACAACCAATCAAACCGAAAGAAAAAGGAAATAAAAATGTCACCCTGATCCATTTACTGTTATTATTATTTTCCTCTCTCAATCTCTCTTCCATTCCCACTGTTGACGATTATTAATATTTCCTCTCTCTCTCCCTCTTTAATGAAAATCATGACAATCATAATAATAAAAAAAGCGAGAAAAAGACTCTCTCAGAATCTGAGAACTGGCAGAGAACAGGAAAAAAGTTCTGATCTCTTCCTGCCTCCACCCTTTTGCCCTCCCGGTGGAAATTTTGTTTTTATTTCTCATCTCAATTCAAACATAGACACATAATTGTAACTGTTAAACAAATTATATTAATAACAATATTGTTACTTTCCCATGTAATCATCATCAGCACCATGTAATTGATGAGATAAATACATAGAAAAAGTTTATTGGTGAACTTAAAATGATTTGTCTAACCTGAAATTATCAATTCAAATGAAACAGTTATGTTTTCACAATTACAATTCAATTACAATTCAGAATCATGATTAGTATCATTATCTTGATAATTTTATCATCTCCATGATGATTATCGTTCATAATTATTCTGGTTGGTTGAATCAATGGAGATGAGAAGGAAGAAAAAAAAGGGTTGAAAGAGATGAAAATAATCATCATCATTTCTGAAAGAAGAAGAAAAAATGATGGCAAAAGAAAGAGAATGAAGATAATGATGATTAGGAATCAAAAGCATATTATCATGATAATAATGCATCTTAACAGTGAATATAAGATGATGATGATGAAGAGAGAGAAAAATTTGAAGGGAAAAAGTATTCACTTGATTTTCTATTCTTTTCTTCATCATCATTCTAATCATGGGAAGCAGCATTTTCTGCTTGAGATGAAGATGAAACTGCAAGTGAATATTGAAGAGGAAAAGGAAAGGATGAAGAAGAATGAAAGAAAAGTTTTGGTTGAGAAAATAAAATGTACCCAAAGTGATTGGATTTTGTTCAACTATGAAATTTAACTTCAACACTGATTAAGATTTGCAAGTAATCAGCTGATTAATTTCAGAATAACAGGTATTAGTTTTGTTTGTTACTTTATTTTCCTCAATGCTCAGTAGTCATGAGCTTTTGGTTCAATGAAACTTTTGGAAGAGGAAAAAAAAGAGAAATCAATTGAAACATGGTGACTGAGATTAAAAGGTTTTGTATAGAAATTAATGGAAAAACAAACTGTAATCTTGCAGGGAAGAGGAGATAATCTCATCGGATATCATGAGATGCTTGTTCATGAAAATTGAATGCGTCCATTTGGTTGAAGTGAAAAGATGAAAAGACTCAAAAGGTTGAGAGGATAAACTTTTGTCCACCATGTCTCTGGATAAGAATACAGAATTTTTGTTCAGAAAATGTGATCAATAAATCTTGAGGAAAAGAGGAATAGAGAGAAGGAGAGAAACAATTCTCAATATAAATTGTGCTTGAGGTAAGTAAAGAAAGAGATGATGATGATACTAAGACTACATGGAAGATGGATTTTGTACAGAACATTTCATGTAACTTTCAGAATCACTTCTTTTTCCAATAGAAATTCACTTCTTTTATCTCAACCATTTCAGCTGAAATTTTCTCATCATCATTATCATCATCCTTCGTGAGCTCATTTTGTCAAAGGGCCAGAAAGAGAGTATTAGTTATAAGTAAAATGTTGAATGTCTTGTAATGAGAAGACCAGATCAATCCCAATAACCTCCCTGCAGAGTTAAGGAGATAAACAGAAGCCAAGAATTGAACAGCGATACACAAGATAAAACTGAATTAGCTCAGTATCTGAATACCCACCGCCATCACAACCACTGTCAACCACTATCTCCCTTCCCACCCATATGAATCACTTTTTTTTATTGTAAGTATATCAATTTAGATTACGCTATTTAATTTAATAGTTTCATCAACTCACTCATCATCATAATAATAATCATCATCACCAAGAAAAAAGAAACCAAGTGATCATTTCAAAGCCATGGCAAGAACTCAGTCATCACGATAATCTGAGCTTATATAAAGTATCAAAGTTAAATGATTTTTATCAAAGGCAAAATAAAATCAATGATTGGAATTGAACAGAACAAACAAAAAATAGATAAATAAATAATTTGAAATGATAACATTGATGGGAGGGCAACACAAAAGCTCAACTTGATTGCTTTTTCAGGGGAAAAAAGTTCAACTGGAAACAAGGAAGTGAAAGTGACTATTTTTTTATCGTCATCATCATCATCATCAAGTGACCTTAGGAAGTATAAAGGAGAAAAGATTAACATTGTAACACGGAAAAATGGGTGGAAGATAATCTTGGACTTGTGCCCATTAAGATTTTGTGTCTACCTTAAAAAAAATAGACGATTAAGTGGCTATTATGGTTAAGAGAAGAAAAAGAAAAGTTCTATTCTTTTTCGTGTTTATCTTCCAACTCACATACACACACATATAAACACACATACTCCACCCACTCACTCCCCTTTTCCTCCTTCTCATCATCATTTGAAATAATCAAACATATAATAGAAAGAAAAATAATATTGTAGTTTTTTTTCCTTAAGAACATCAACTTGATCATCTTATCCGCATCACTCATCTTTATCTTCATCCTCCCTCAAACTCATCATCATCTCGGTAACCATTTGAAGGTAATGTTACCAATGATGATGATCGTTGTATGGATGATAATGATGATGATAATGACCATCAAATTCTAGGTATACATACAAACATGGAGCCAAATCTCACATAACTGTAATAATCATCCCTCCGAATTTCCTGAATTATTTCTGCTGATACTCATTTCCTTTTATTATTATTATTTTCATCATCACCATCATCTTTTATCATCTTTCATCATCATAATTATCATCCCTTTATCTTTCTCTTTCTTATCAATTGCAATTCTCACTAATCATCATCATCATCATAATCATAATCATGATACAGTTCATTTAAGTTTACACCTAACAAGAGAAATGCAACTTTCATTGACCATTTCCCATTTCTTATTCAATGTCCAGTCCCAAATTTGAAGGGAAACAAAATTTATATTATCATAATATATGAACCGGATATACTTTATTTCCTATGTGAAATTACATAGGAAATAAATGACT